CAGACTACAGAATTTAAGGAGATTGCTAACTACTGACTTGATGTGGGAAGAGATTTTTTGTTAATTATTTTGATTAGTTACTTATCTTGAAATTGTGATCAAACATCTGACAAAGTAGCAATTCAAGGGAAGAAAGGCTTAGTTTGGTTACAGTTGAGTTGATGCTGTCCATCATAGCATAGAAGATGGGGCAGAAACTTGAGGTGGCAGAGAGTAGACAGGATACAGAAACTACCTTTCACAGTTTTCGCAAATAGTGCCTCCTGCTCAGGGTCAAGTATTCAAACACATTTTATAATCAAACTACTACAATTAGTTTGTTGACCAAAATAAGTGATAAAGTGGTGCACACCTTTAATCTCAACATTGGGAGGCACAGACAGGTGAATCTCGGTGAGATCAAGGCCAACCTGGTCTACAGAGCAAGTTCCAGGACAACCAAAGGTACACAAAGACACCCTGTCTTGAACAGTCAAAAAGAAGAAAGGGAGGAAGGAAGAAAAAAATGAAAAACGTAAGAGTAAGTTTTGAAATTGGGGGGTGAATATTGATGAATTGGAGTTAACCAAGGGATATCAAATGGTATAGGCCAGAGCCAGGAAGAATAGCTAGAAATAAGATTTGAATATCAGTTGTTTAAGTATGTTTTGTCTTTCTTTTCTTTTCTTTTTCTCAGAGAAACTTTTAAGAGATCAGACTGGCATAATTTCAAAGAAGGACCCTTCCCCCTTCAGTGAATAGAGTCAGAATCTGGTAGCTAATAGTAAGTCATTAATGTGCAATAGTCTCTCCTAGGAGCAGTCACAACAGCAGCTTTGTATGTAAAAAGACTCCAATGAGCTAAGTTTGAGAAGACATTAGGTCAATTTGGTCAAGAATGTTTCATTGCCTTTCTACAACCAAATCCTTTAATCCTTCATTTCTCTAATTGATTTTAGATCTTTTTTTTTAATTTTAAATTATACTTTTAGAAGACTGTAATGATTAGAAGAAAAAACGTTTCCTTTGCTTTGAAGCAGTTTCTGGCACACCTTTTCTTCTCTTGGGTAATAGAAAAGCCCTATTTTTAAGGGTCCAACAAAAATAATGTAAGTTCTTTAACCTGAAGTATTTCTTTTCTTATTTTAATTGTCTTGTGGAGGGGGCAGTACAAGGCCTTGTTATGGTCTATTCTCTGTATTTCCTCAATAAGGTAAAATTGAAATAAAACAAAACATAGATTTTGTAGCACACTAATTTTAGTGAGCATTGTAATTAGTACTGTAGTCACAGGGAAGTTCCTGGTATAGAGTAAAAAATGATAAAACCTGTTATTATCATGTAACAAACTCCTCCCACCCACCCAGGTTTCTCTGTGTAGCCTTGGCTGTCCTGCAATTCTATCTGTAGACCAGGCTGGCCTCGAACTTACACAGATTTGCCTGCCTTCTAAGTGCCGGGATTAAAGATATATGTGCTACCTCTCCCAGCACTAACATGTAACTCTTAAAAGACTGTATCTGTCATCATTGAACACAGCTAACAGTTTTGGCTATGGACTCATATTCTTTATATGTTCTGAAATATTGGTTTCTAGGTACAAGCACATAATATAAAAACCCTCAGAACAGTGGCATTTAACACTGCTGGTGGTGTATTAGAACCATAGGTAGGTTATTTTCTGTCTTCAATAGTGGTACCTCTAACTCTTGTTTAATCAAAACCTTGGATTTAGCTCAGAAACCAAATATTGCTTTAAATTAATAATTTTCAATAAATTGGAAAAATTCATTCCTTTTTCATAGGACTATGTATAGACAGACTCTAAAGCTAGGAATGAAGCACTTTAAAGAGAAATTTTTATTCATTTTACATTATGTAGATATAGATTTTATCCTTTAATTAGAAATCAAGTACCATAGGCAATATGGAACAAATGACATGCTGAGTAAGTCAAAGCCTTTTAAAACCAAAGTTGATGTTGATTATAAAGATATTAAGGACTCAACAGTTAAGAACACTGCCTGCTTTTCCTTTGGTCTCAGGTTCAATTCTTAGCATCCACATGGTAGCTCACAACTGTCTATAGTTTCAGTCGTCATCAACCCCCCCCCCCCCCGGGATTTAATACCCTCTTCTGACCTCTGTAGGTACCAGGCATAGGCACTCATAAATGCCAACAGAATCTGCAGCACTTCAAACTGCATAAAATTGTGAGGAGAATTAAAGGCAAATCTTTTTGCTTAGAGACCATTTGTTGTTGTTGTTGATAACATTGAGCCTTTGTGTTTATATATAGCCTTTTTTTTTTGCCTATAGAAGCCTCTTTTAATAATGGCTGTTCTATACAACCAAAGTCAGTTTTAGCACTGTAGTATTTTGGTTTGAGGTACAGCTGTTTCCCAGTAGTGTCTATGGTTCATATGTTAATAGGTATATGTGTGTATCATATATGTACATATATTATGTTCCAATATTGGATATAAAGCTATAAAATCATGTTATCCATACCCCTAAGCTCCTCGTATTCCTTTAGTACACTGAAAGATGTGTCAGTGCTTTCCTTTATGTGGGATGATTTTGTATGCCTTTAAAAATTTTTATCTGTATTTTTATTTCATGTATTTGAGTATTTTGTTTGTAAATATGTGTGTGTACTACATGTGTGCAGTGCCTGAGAAGGGCCAGAAGATTTCTTTGGATGCCCTGAAACTGGAATCACAGATACTTGTGAAGCACAATTGTGTAGGTACTGGCAACTGAATCTAGGCCTTCTTGAAGAGCTGCAAGTACTCTTTAACTGCTAAAACATTTCTCCAGCCCCTTATTAATAAATTTATTTATTAATAAATATAAACAGTAATTATTTTGTAGGATCTTCGATTTTCTAATGCATGGTTTGAATGTATATTTTCTTTTGCTCAATAATTTTCCTCCATTTTTTTCTCTTTGGAAATGTTTGTAGGTTTGAACCAATGCATTTGTAGGTTTGAACAAATGCATAGTGATTTGATTGCTGCTTTTAATACTTATAAGTATATAAATATGTGACTCGAAAGATTCATGCCAGGTTTCTATGCAGAATCTTGAATGCTGATAAATGATCTTTTTTTCAGCATTTCAGTGAAATCAATAAAACTTAGACCATCCTTTTCAAGGCTATTTCCTTTTAGTTCAGTTGTTGCCTTTGTTGACTCAGTTAGGAAAGGACTGTCTTCTGTCAAATATGAATTTCTGTTTATAGGCTAGATGAGACTTAGAAATATAGTACAGACTGAAAGTGTGATTGCTCTGCTTTTCTTTCTGTCTAGAGGAAAGCCTGTTTAACTCTCATGCTACTCGTGTATCTTAAAATAGGCCGTTTTCTATTGCTCTGGTGGCACACTAAAGGGATGTTAGAAGACTCAGTATCTGTTTAGTAGACCAAAGGAAAGGGCAAGCAATCTTTGAAGTAGCAGATGTTGAGGCTTTTTTTTTTTTAAAGTTCAGTCAAATGTGGCATATAATTTTTAACATTTGTTGACCGTTGTGTTCATAGTGTGTTTATGTTCTTAGGGCATTGGAGGCTTTCGATAAATTTGTTAAGTAGATTAAGCATTAATATTTAGTGTTTCTAGCTCTATTTTAGTTTGGCTATTCAGTAGTTACTGTAAACCTTAAGGTTTAAGAAAGCTACAAATGGAGAGGCTAGCTTGATTTTGCATATATGTAACAGGTATTTGTGATTGCACATATAAAGCTACTGTTTTCTTATGAAATGCTACTTTTCTAGCTTTCCATATAATTGTGGGTAACTGACAGTTTATTCTTATTACATGAAGATTCAAATTCAAGTGCAGTATTTTTGCTTTCATATTAAAATACTAAAATACCATACTTAATTTGATGATAGTATTTCTTTTGATGAAAGTTAGATCTCTTAGGGCTTATATCTAAAAATTTCCACCTTCAATGTCAATTATTTTTAGGTGGTTCAAGTATAAATAGAAATAAATTTATTAAAGTTGATTTCTTAAAAAAATTGTACATTGATTGTTTATTACTTTCAAAAGTTTTGTAGCAGCCTGGAAAATTAGAATATATATGTATATATTTATGCAATTTCTTTCAGAATATTAAAGAGGTTTTATTATCTTGCTTATTTAACTGAAAATTTATACCAACTATATAATGCTTGCTTACTTTTAAAAACTTGTTTCTATGTTTAACTTAATGTTGCTAAACTAGGTATATCACTAAGTATTTTTGCATTTTAAAAAATTTGTGTTAAATGCTGATGTTAACATGTATTTTTATGTATGCTTGTAGTAAATTTAATATTGCCTGTAAAATTAAGCAAATTGTATATATATATATATATACATTCTAAAAGGAAAATTGTATTTTAAAGATAAATGCAGGCTAAGTATAAGGTACTTAAGTATAATGACTCTTGAAGAATCAGTGAAGGCAGATAGTTTTATCTTTCATAGCTTTTATAATGAAATTTCTGCTTTCAAAAGTTTAAGTTTCACTTTGAGATAAAAAGTATTTGGACGCTACTATTGGACTTTGACTTAATATTCTTAAAAATGATGGTACAGAGCTGGACATGGAAGTCAGTAGATTGGGTGCTTGCCTGGCACTGAGGAGACCCTAGGTTTGATCCCAGAATTTTTCCAAAAAGTAAATTAATAAAAAGATTCATTATATTTAAATTATTTTATAACACTTCTATTTACTTGAATACATAAAATCTAAAGCTTTTTCATAAATAAGAAGATACATAGATTAATTTGATAAGGTTGAATCTTTAAATTCTCTACTCTCACCTGCTTTAAGACAATAACCAACAATAAATATATCTCAGTTTTGAGCAGTGAATGTCCAAAGTAATTCTCATTAACTTGTTAGTATATTCTATTTGTTGAACATAATTCCACATTTTTATTAGATCTGACATACCTGAAAAATATTTTAAGATCCATTCATACAACTAATTTTTTTTAATGCATTAACTTTCTTACTTTCCTCGTTTGCAGCATTTTCAGTTAGCTTTGGTTGACTGTAATCCCTGCACTTTGTCCAATGCAGAAAGTAAGTATTACATACCTTTTGATGCATATGTTTTGCTTAGTATTTTACAAATGATGATAATACTTAAAATTATACTAACAACTCTGTTCAGTGTATTTCTTCAAGAATTATTGAGTGTAACTATTGGTTGCTATGGCTACTTGTACATATAGAATTGTGACATTAAATATTTTCACCAGTCTGCCTGGATAGGTAGTAAAGTAGGCTGATGAAGGTTGATTTTTTTAAAATAGCTTATTAATTATATTGTAAATGACTTAGATTGATTATAAACAGTATTTTTCATTCATGTAGTAGATATGCAAAGATTTATGTGGTGTTAAAATTACTGGAACTATTTTGACTTTATTATAGTTGATATTTTCTGGTTAATTAAAGAAGAATGCTGTTGTGATGTATGTTTTGATCCAGAGGTTTTATTTTTTGTATAGATTTCCTTCCAGGAGCTGATGGATTGATAAGTTTGTCAGTGTATGTTCTAATGTATCCATGTAGTACACTTTAACTACTAGATTATTAAAGAATATTTTTTAATTTGATCTAGATTTTTTAAAAAGTATTTTTGGAAAATAGAACTTTTTAAATAGAAGAGAAAATAACACTACTACATGAAAATTTCAGGTTATTCAGTGAACCCTATTTGTCAGGAAATAACTGTTTGCTATAAAATGTTTGGGGGTTCTCTTTTCCTTTATCTTGTCCCATTTCTTCTTCCTCTTTCATGTTCCTTTCTTGTTAAGGGAGAAGTGGAAAGAGAACAATTGTTCTATTAAACTAGAGGTGCAGAGAGAGCAAACAGTTGAGTTGAGGGATACAGATTCAGCACCCAAATCCTTTGTCATTCTGTCCTCCTACTTAGACAACAGTACAAAAATATAATAGTGACAAGTAGTTTCGGTGTTTTTAAATGCCTATGAAAATTTTGCAGAATTTTAATTTTTAAGTTGTTTTTATTTATTTTTTTTTCTTTTTTTTTCGATTTGTTTATTCAAGTATGCGAAAACACTCTTTCCACTTCCTCCCCTCCTCCCAATACCCTCCCGCTCCCCCCACTCCCTCTCCTCCTCCCTCACCATTCCCAAGAACAGTCAGGGTTTCCTGCCCCATGGGAAATCCAAGATCCTCCCCCCTCCCTCCAGGTCCAGGAAGGTGAGCATCCAAACAGGCCAGGATCCCAAAAAGCCAGTCCATGCAGACGAAACATGCCATTGTCAATGGCTTCTCAGTCTTCATTTGGACCTTGGGGGCTCAGTCAGCCCCCATGTCAGCCACATTCAGAGAATCCGGTTTGATCACATGCTCGTTCAGTCCCAGTCCAGCTGGCCTTGGTGAGCTCCCATCCGACCAGTCCCCTTGTATCAGCGGGTGAACACACCCCTCGCGGTCCCGACCTCCAGTGCTCCAATGTGGGTCTCCCTCTCTATCTCCATCCATCGTCGAATGAAGGCCCCCTCTTATTTTGCTTTCGTTGTTCACGATCTCCCTCCATTTCTCATTTGGACCTAGGGAGCCAAGTCCAGTGTTCCAATATGCGTCTCTGTCTCTATCTCCATCCATCGCCATATGAAGGTTCTGTGGTGACATGCAAAATATTCATCAGTATGGTTATGGGCCAAGGCCGGTTCAGGCACCCTCTCCTCTGCTGCCCAGAGTACCATCTGGGGACCTCTCCTTGGACCTGGGAACCCCTCCAGAATCAAGTCTCTTGCAAACCCTAAAATGACTCTCTTAGTTGAGATATAAACTTCCCTGCTCCCATAACCATTCTTCCCCCCTCCCCCCTCCCTGTAATCCCCACACTCCCAGTTTACTCTGGAGATCTTGTCTTTTTCTCCTTCCTATGTAGATTCTCTCTTAGAATCCTCTTTGTTGTCTAGGTTCTCTGGGATTGTGGACTGTAGGCTGGTTTTTCTTAGTTTTATGTCTAAAAACCACTTATGAGTGAGTACATATATTTGTCATTCTGGGTCTGGGTTACCTCATGCAATATGATGTTTTTTTAAACCCATCCATTTGCCCACAAATTTCAAGATGTCATTATTTTTAACTGCTATGTAGTACTCCATTGTGTAAATGTACCACATTTTCTTTATCCATTTTTCAGTTGAGGGGCGTCTAGGTTGTTTCCCGAGTTCTGGCTGTGATAAACAATGCTGCTGTGAACATGTCCTAAGAGTGCTAATGCTAAATATTGAGGCAGATTGTTTCCTCTTTTTTTGAGAAATCTCCATATTACTGATTTCTAAAGCAGCTGTACGAGTTTGCACTCCCACCAGCAATGGAGGACTGTTCCCCTTACCATCCTCTCCAGCATAATCTGTTATCAGTGGTTTTGATCTTGGCATTCCTACAGGTGTAAGGCAGAATATCAGAGTTGTTTTGATTTGCATTTCTCTGATGAATAAGGATGTTGAACAATTCCTTAAGTGTCTTTCAGCCATTTGTGATTTCTCTGTTGAGAATCTATACCCAGAATTTGTAATATAGCCTGAATTAACAGCCTGGACAAGCTGCAGTTGTAGCAGTTGAGGATGAGCTCTGCCCATCCTCACTGCTTCCTCCCATAAAGAAGTTATAAATAAGTAAAGTGAGTTTTCAAAACCATTTCTGTTGGAGAAATGCTTCTAGTAGTATTTAAGAAGTATAAGTTGCAGTTTATAATTTGAAAAGCATTATTGTGGGTGATGTGAGACTTTTCATTATAAGATTGCTTTGGGATAAGACAGTTTCTTTATTCATTAACCAATGAAAGCAACAAATAAACAGAAGAACCTCCTACACCATTTCTTCTTTTCTGTTTAAACAAAAATCAAGGTGTTAGCATAAAATAATTACATAAAACAGTTATTAAGCAAGAATTTCAGTTAAAATATTTATATCTACTTGATCTTTTATCATAACTAAGGATAACTATAATAATAACTATCCATTCTTCAACTCCATCAAAGACTCCAGAAGGATATAATTTTACTTATGTAAGCAAGAAATGCATTGTAAGCAAATTCCAAAATTCTAGAATTGACAGAGACATCTCGTTTCATGGACAGTCATCCAAAGTTTTTCTGTAGCATTGGGGCATCTAGTATCCAGCCCATAGTATCCAGCAGACTTTTCCATGAAGCAGAAATTTCAAAGACAGTTCAGTCACTTTCTTCTGTATCCTACAGAGTGTCTCACAGACTCTTTCATGAAGCAGGGACCCCAAAGGATAATCTCACCTTTAGGCAAGTTCAGCAGTCACCTCTCTGCGGGTTCTTCATGTCCAGTTTATGCAACAGTCCAGGCAAGAGCCCATCTTTGTCTCGAAGTAGCTTGGTGCTGCCAGGAGCAGACGTGTCTCACCATCATGAAAAGTCCTAAGTTATTAAAACATTTTAAATATCATATTCTGAAGGTCTCTGAAAGATTTGAAGAATGCCTATCTTACAGCTGTAAAATCTAACTAACATGACTAACTACAAGCTTGACTATTAAAGATGACTCTCTTTTAACCTATATTTCTTAATTATACATTACATTTTTAAATGAGCTGCATAATCACAATACCTTAATCAAGAGCATAAATATGTATATAACAAAATTGACCTTAAATTAGTAACAATAAACCAAGATTCATACCAATGCAAATTATTCATATCTATATCATATCCCCCTTTAAATGTAAGCAAACATTTATAGACAATATTTGGGAATATGGGTGTAGATTTATCCATACTGCTTCCTGCTGTACGGGGTGCTGTTAATCAGGTCTTTCATGGTGTGTCCTGTGTGCTAGGTTAATCTCAGTCACCAGTTGGGTGAAGTAGTTTTTCGAGGGTGTTCATGGCAACCTTTCAGGAGGGCGTGGTCTATCATATCATAATGGTCTAGAAGGAATCCGCAGGGTCTCATCCTCTGTGAAAACAAAAGAAGAACCTCTTTTCCAAAGCATCATATCCTTAGACCCAAATTTGGAAGTCATGATACCTTTAAAATATATATGCTGGTTTAGCTTAGCAGACCACACAGTGAAATGTCTCTCTGTATTTAGCTCCTCCATAGTCAAAACATTGAAAGAAAATACATTATACAGAATCCAGATTCTCTGTGAATTTTCCATTTTTATGTGGCTTATTTTTCTTTATTTCTTTTAATCTATGACTATCTGTACTGTCTCTTAAAGACTTTACCCTTTTTCTACAGCATTAACTTTACTTTATGACTTTTTAATACTCTTTTATGTCTGAATCTGTCCTATTGCATTGTCTTTAATTCTCTACTGTCTTGAAGAGCTTTTAAAATGCTGAGCAGCTTGGTTGCAGCTGCTCTGGATGTTGGTTCCACCTCTCTCCAATTTTAAAATGGTGGACGTATCATTTCTGCTAGTTCTGGGGCCACCAGGCAGGAGCTGCGCTTAGCACTTTAACTCTGAGAATGAGTGTGTGGCACATAAACTCTTATTATCTGAGTTACATCAAATATGTCATGCAGAGCACTGCGCAGACTGGAAACATCTCTGTGTATGGTGGCAGAAATCCGCCATGCTCTCCTGCTTGTGCATGCTTAGTAGACCTGATCCTGCCACCTGCCCAGGTGCAGGCAGGGAACACTGAGCCATTGGCATGGTCTCAGAGTACTTTCTTCCCGATCCTGAGCGGGCCCACCAACATCTGGGCCCACAAATGCTCCATAGCCTACTGGTAGCAGGACCCAGGAAGCCTTATTTTAAAATGGCGTGGCTTTTTTCTTTTTTCTGCTATTACTGAGTCAGGAAATCTCTCTGCAGCAAGCCCCAGCAAACAGCAAAAAGCTGTGTTAAATGCTCTCTCTCTCCTTTTTAAGCCCTCTCGGGTTTTTAGGTGGATTTAGTCCATTACGTTGGAGCACCAACTTTACTGGCCTTAGTGCATGAAACCATATTGGTGTTGAAGCAATCCACAGGTGTCTTTCTTCTGTGGAAACAAAAGAAAAACCTTTCCAAAGCACCATATCCTTAGACCCAAATTCTGAAGTCAAGATACCTTTATAATATACATGCTGGTTTAGCTTAGCAGCCCATACAATGAAATGTCTCTCTGTACTTAGCTCCTTCATAGTCAAAAAATTCAAAGAAAACACAATAATATACAGATTCCAGAATCTCTGTGAATTTTTCATTTTTATGTGGCTTATTTTTCTTCATTTCTTTTAATCTATGACTATCTCTTTAAAGACTTTACCATTTTTTAAGCATTAACTTTATTTTATGACTCTCTATACTCTTTTTCTTCTTTCTCCCAAGCCTGTTTACAGTTATCCAACACTGTGACCCATTTAGAGGTCTTTTATGTCTGAATCTGTCCTATTGTGAATCTGTAATTCTTTACTGTCCAGGAGTGCTTTTTAAAATGCTAAGTGCTTCTTAAAAACTTAAGATGCGTCATTGCTCAGGTAACAGTAAGTGCCTGCTTGTTCTGCCCAGTCCAGCATGGCGGAGCTGCTCCTGCCTCTGAGCCTGGCACAGTGTCCTACTTCCAGGCACATGGAGAGTGAACATTGCCATCAAGCAAGCTATAGCACTTTACTCACAAACCCTATCCAAATGCTCTGTTTCCCTCAAGAGACAGAGGTCACGCTAGCAGTGTAGCCCAGAAAACCGGCATTTTAAAACTGCCACTTTTTTCTGCTGCGACTGGTGAGTCAGGAAAATCTCTCTGAGGCATGCTGCCAGCAAAGAGCAAAAAGCTCTCTCTCTTTTTTTTTCCTAGAATTCCTTTTTCAAGCCCTCTCAGGTTTTACGTGGATTTAGTTGACCACATTGGAGCGCCAATTGTTGGAGGGAGAGGCCGCTTGTTCGTCCCGGCCGCCCGGCTAGCTTATACCCGAAATAACCACACAGAAACTATATTAATTAAAACACTGCCTAACTTCTTATTGGCTAACTCTTACATCTCAGTTTAACTCATCTCTACTAATCTGTGTATTACCTCATGGCAGTGGCTTACCGGGTAAAATTCCTATCATCTGTCTCCGGCGGCGGATCCATGGTTTCTCTCTGACTCTGCTTTCTTCCCCCAGCATTCAGTTCTGTTTTCCCCGCCTACCTAAGTTCTGCCCTATCAAAAGGCCAAGGAAGTTTCTTTATTCATTAACCAATGAAAGCAACACATAAACAGAAGGACCTCCTACACCATGTCTTTCTCATATTAATTTTGTTAATTCTCACAATATTAGTTTCTGAATAAACTTAGTTTCCTGACCTTTTATGGCAATATTAGTTTAAAAAAAACACCTGTTGCAATTTGTTGAAGCATTTTCTTGGTTTTAAAGTCATGCTCTATTTCAAAGAGGACTTTAAAGTATTTAAATGTATGGTGTTTCCCATACTCTAAAGGGTAACACTACACTTAATTCAAGGGCTAATGAGATCCTTTTTTATAAGGCATAGGACAACTTAGAGAAAGTTTAGAGTAGTAGTAGATCACCAACTAGTTATTGATGTTTTGTTTTCATTTTCTAATGACCACCTTTTATTAGACAACAGTAAAAACATGTTAGTGGCCAGAAGTTTCAGTATTTTAGAACACTAGTGTAAAAGTGCATAGATTTTTTTCCCATCTCTTCTTCCTTTAATAGTCTTCCTCTCACATAATTAAATATATGAGTGGAATTCACTATAAGAGCTGTAATATAGCTGGTAGTGATCAGTAGACAAAAGCCCTTGAATACCTCCTGTTTAACTTTAAAGAATTTAAATTTATTACTTTGGTTTTTCATTTTCTAAAGATATTTTAATTTGCACTTATCTGATATTTATCTTATTACTTATCTGATGTTTATAATAGTACTTTTCATCCAGAATGTTATTTTAAAATTTATTATATTTTTTTTTGTTTCTTTACCTTGCTTGTGTGACATTATTCACCTGGTGTTAAGCTAGAAAGGACAAGCATCAAGAATCACCTACAGAAGTGAATCAAAAGGCAGCCTTTCAGACTTTGTCTATAGTGTCAGAGTCATACTTTCAGAAATCTGAATTAATAAGAAGCTTCCCAGGAAAACTTGATGATAGCTTTGAGCTTTGTTTTTACAAATTTACATAAACTATGCACATATAATTTTGAGAGGGTATCGGAATACTTGAAATCCAGATACACACACACAAGAATAAAAGAAAAAAGTATGAATTTTTTCATTCTTGGTTTTGTTTTTGTACACCGGTGATAAAGTATCAGAAGGAGGTGGGTACAAGCCAAAATATTCTTTTATTTTCAGTGTTTGTTAATTCCAAGACTGTTTACTAGTTGCCCTCCCAGTGGTTTGACTTGCTTGTTTATTTCTTTGTTAATGATGAAATCTATACTCACTTGCTAAGTTTTTAACACTAATAGCTAACAAATTTTTTTTATAATGACCAACAATGGCTACATATAGTTTATTTTGTTTTTTTTTCTGTAGTTGTATAGTTTTTATTAAAAGCCAGTAAAAATTATGTTCCTGTTACTTAAATCTATGTACTGTCATCTATGCGTATTTTCTGTTTTGTTATTCTTGAATGATTTGCCCCAAACTTTGCTGTATTGTTACTGTTTTTTGTTTTCTATCATTCTTTGCAGTTCAGTTTCACATTGCCCACTTATATGAAACTCAGGTAAGTGTTTTAATTACCCAAGTTCAAAAAGAAATATACAGTATCACTTATATCATGCATTAGTGAAATTAAATTCAGATAATTTAATGAAATTCTGAGCATTATGTTACGCTTTTATACTCAAGTTTACTTATAGTTTTACTCCATCAATTGCTATACAAGAAGCTTGATATATCTGGAGATTTTACTTATGACTTGCCTATAAACTTGATTTGGTAGTTCAAATGGCTATATTTAATGTTTCTTTCTTGCTGAAGAGTGCTTTATTCTGTTATAGATGCTTATTATAATATGTTGTTTTTAAATGATTTTATTAGTCACTGTGTGTATGTGTGTGTGTATATGTATATAATCAGTTTTCTCTTTCCCCTTACTTAGATTGTGTGGATGAAACTCATGTCACCAGGCTTGTGAAGTGCTTTTACCTACACTGAGCCATATCACCATCCTTTAGTTGTTAATTCTGGTTTATAAAGTTTCTCAAATGATTGTGCTATGTAGCTGAGTTTGGAAACCACAGACAAATGATCTCAGAGTATCTGATTACATCCCACAGATATATAAATATGAGGATGTAGCAAGAACCATGTATCTCCTGGGGACATGCTTTATTGTATACTTGAGTTACTCTGTGAAAATAAGAAATTCTGTGTTTCAAACAGTATTTTGTTTCATCTCCAACTGTTAAAAGATTTATGTTTAAGACCAGGCAGTTGGTGGCTCATATCTTTAATCCCAGCACTCGAGAGGCCGAACTCTGTGAGTTTGAGGCCAGCCTAGTCTACAGAATAAGTTTCAGGACAGCCATAGCTTCACAGGGAAACCTTTTCTCAAAAAGCCAAACCAACCCCACCCCCCAAATGTGCTTTTTCTTTTTTTTAAATTACGTCTACCTAGTTTTTATTTAGTCGTTTTCTTTAATCTTTTATATGTTGGTTTTTTTTTTTGTCTTGCCCTCTGTGTGTGCGTGCGCGCATGTTGGTCTACCTGCCTGAGGGTCTACATGGTTTGTGTACACATGTGTGCCCTTGGATTTACAGGTAATTGTGATCCATCTAATGTGGATGCTGTGAATGAATCCCCAGACCTCTTAAAAAGCAATAAGCACTCAACCATCTCTCCAACTTTTTTTAATTTTAATTTTTATTGTTTTGAGAAATTGTATCACAGTGCAGTCTAGGTTAGCCTCCTTTGGCTGGGATTTAAGTTGTTTTGCTTTGTGAAGTCTTTATTCTTACTTGTGGTTTGTGGTCTTTTGCCCATGTTCAGTGAATTCACTTTAATGCAGTTATTGTTTTGTATGTGATATGAGGCAGAAGCCAACTTTTTGTGGTTTTTGTTAGGGTGAAGATATATTTTCAAGTGTGTCATTGTTTTGTATTTCTAGTTTTTGCATGTATAGTAACATTGAGATAGTTCACAATGTATAGTTTTTTAAGGTATAAATCTGATTATATTAGTTGAAATAGTTCCTTGTGTCTATTATCTTAACTTTAAACAGTCAATTGACTTAGCAAGGTTGTTGTGAGCAGTCTTCTAGTATTCTAACCATCTGCTCATTCTTCTCCAAAATGTACTGTCACTATACACAGCATGATGTATTTTGTTTTTCTGTCTTTATTCTTCAAGCTCCATTGTGGCCCAACCATTTCCATTATGATGTTCTAGATGGTCAATAAATACTTTTTGGCTGAATAAATTAGATTGAGTAGGCTGGTCCCTATTTTTCAGTAATTGCCTACTTTTGTAGACTAGACAAGATTAATGTCTTAGAAATTAATTTAGCTGAATTAATTAATAGAAGTTCAGGTAATAAGTGCTGATAGCCGGGCAGTGGTGGCTCACACCTTTAATCCCAGCACTCGGGTGATTGAGGCCAGCCTGGTCTACAAGAGCTAGTTCCAGGACAGGCTCCAAAGCTACAGAGAAACCCTTTCTCGAAAAATCAAAAAAAAAATGCTGACAATCTCAGTGTGCAGTTGTCTAAAATGCTTCCTCAATCTTGAAATAATATATTTATATAATATAGTTCCTTAGTTATTTCCAGTGCTATTTGATAATTAGAATGATTCTGTAGATAGAAAGATTGCATATTACCTTTTATATTAGTTAATTTGTAGATGTCAGATCATAGGGTAAGTGATTTGCTTGAGGTTCACATAACCAGTTTTGTATTTTTCCCTATACCTGTTGTTCTACCAAGTATAATTTAAAGGCAGTGCTTGCAAGTTTTTTTATTTTCAGCCTTTTCCTTTTGCTTTGAAGGAGTAGCTCTAAACTTTGACTGTTGTGATAATAGCTTTTGGTCATGGTGAAACTTTGAGGAGAAGACTGTGAGTAAATGGTTGCATTTAGAGATTTGCCTATGGAACTTGAAAATGCTGTAAGCATTGTTATACTGTAATTATGAGACTTGTAATATATTTCAAATTATAGATGTTATAAATATTTGTAAGATTTCATATACTGGAAAGTATATGTTTATAACAGATTTTAATTACATTTGTACCTGTGATTTTATTATAGCATTTTTTTGAGTGTGTTCTTCATTATTGTGTTGCTTAGAAACTTGTTGCTAAGCAGACAAATTTTACACTTAGAGAATACTCTGGCTTAATCAATGTTATTAAGTAAAATTGAGATGATTTTCATTATTAAATAAGTTGAGGTGATTTTGACTATTGGGAGTTGGCAAATATTTGAAAGGTCATACTTTAATGATGTTTTTATAGTGGGTGTTTATTACTAGCATTGGATACAATTTGAACTTGTCTAGTGTTAAAAAAAACCATTCAGTAATAGAATCAGCCATTTTTACTTCCAGCTAGTTTTTTAAAATGTGCCAAAGCATAGTAAATATTATATATGGCATAGTTCTTTAAAGGTTATACTGGTTTTACTTTTCTCTTTATTTCTTTTTCTGCTTTTTAGAGAAAGTATCATTCTGCAAAAGAAGCTTATGAGCAACTTTTGCAAACAGACAACCTTTCAGCACAAGTAAAAGCAACTGTCTTACAACAATTAGGTACGTAATTTATGTCTTTTGTTTTTTTCTGTTTTCAGGGTTGATAAAAATCTGAACCTTCTACCAAGCGTTTCCCATCTTACAGTCTAGCTATGTAGTATAATTCTTGGATATAGATTGTTCTTTTGTGGTCGGGGGAGGGTTGGGTTTTGCTTTTCGAGACAGAGTTTCTCTGTGTAGCCCTGGTCTTCTTGTAGACCAGGCTAACCTTGAACTCACAGAGATCCGCTGGGTGTGTGCCACCATCGCTACTACCACAACCTGGCTAAATGATCCTCTTAAATTCTGAAAATTCTCTCTATTATTTAGCTATTTATTGTGTGAAACGGTATGAGCACTTCCTTTGTGCCACCTTACATTCATGCTTAAAATGCTCTGTGAAATTAAGTGATTTACCTATGTTTATTCAGTGGTTGATGAACTTCCTTTCACAGCTTCATGATTATTAATCACTAAAATATTTTATCTAAAAATTACACAAACTCTAGCACAATGTGATTTTTATAAGGATGCAGTCCTATTTTAATGTTAAATGTGAGACTCTGTAACCATTTAAATCTTTGTGTTGCTGTCTTGAAGAAGAGAGCAAAGAAGCCATCCAGTACTTAATTTTCTTACCTAATTATTGAGTTATTTTATTTTTGTGTTTTGTGTTGAAGTCATCCTCTCAGTTTTGTTTGATTTGGGTTTGGGAAAATCATTTGCTTTATTTTTATTTTTTTAATATTTTTATTTTTTTGAGACAGGGTTTCTCTGTGTAGCTTTGGCTGTCGTGGAATCATTTGTTAATTTTTAACTAGTGTGTGTGTGTGTGTGTGTGTGCGCGCGCGCGTGCGTGCGTGCGCGCGGGCGCACACACATATTTGTAGTATTTTTGTATAATTTTGAATTCAGTTGAACAGATTTGTTGTGATTCACTGACTATGTGTAATGTACACATTGCCTGCTGTGTTAGTCACTTTTGTAGTACTGTGATAAAACACCATGACCAAGACAACTTGGAGAAAGAAGGATAAGAATCTATCCTGTCATGGTAGGGAAACATGAAAGCAGGCAGGTATGTTGGCAGGAACAACTGAAAGCACACATCTCCAACCATAAACAGGAATAGGAACCAGAAGGGATTGAGATTTGGGCGGCTGGGGGAGTGGGGAAAGCAGTTGCTCCCTCATATTAACTGAGAATGATGGCAGGGAGCTTTTGGAGACTCAAAGCCCCACCCCAGTGGCATACTTACTTCAGTGAAGCCACAGCTCCCAAATCCTCCCCAAACAATGTCATAAAGTGTGGACCAAGTGTTTCAAATGGCCAAGACTCTAGGAGTCATCTCATTCAAACCTTCACACCTTCATATAAGACCTTCGTTTTTACAGTTTAATTTTAGCTATTAGAATTTTAGTTTAATAAATTATAGTGTTTGATTGATGTGAATTTTTATTTTTAAATTTAACCATTTTGCTAATACAATGAAAATTTTGGATTTTTAAGTCAGAAAAAAGAAGTATGATGACTTTAAAATTATTTACCTATTAGTTAATGTGATCTATCTATCTATTGCTATATATTTTTTAAACTTAAGAAATAGATTTGAATATTGTGATTTTATTGTGTCTGAATCATAAATCACCTGACTTCTGACAGTGTTTTGTTAAATTTCAGAATATAAAAGTAAACTCATGATTTTGTATAATTGTATCCACTTTATAGCAACTTGCTTCCTGCTTCTGGACCAACTCCTTTTCGAGACCATTTTTCTAGATTCTGCTTTTTAAAAGTGTTTTAATTTAGTATAGGGGAAGGGACTTGCACTTACAGGCACACAGGTGCCATGGTAGACATGTGACTGTCAGAGGACACCTACACCTACCTTTAAGGAGACCGTTTTCTTTTTCTACCAAGGGTTAGATTTAAGTGCTCAAACTTGCTTCAAAAATGCTTTTGCCTGGTGGGTGATGTCACCCCCCATCCCCATCCCCATCTTGTTTTGCTAGTAATAGAAGGAGAGAGTTGGGAGGAGTGTTTTGTTTGTTTAACTTTGATAAAACATGGTAACTGAATTTCTTTAAGATAATCTTTGGTTAAATGCCAGAAAAAGAGGATCTTTGTTTCATGTGCTGTAGACTGTACCAAGAACAGAGCTAATTTTATACATTGAAGTGATTTACAATTGAAATGCGGCCTACTGCCAAACTTACCCAAATTTGTCTTACACATTTCAAAGATTTAAAATAAGTATTTCATGGTATACTTTTTGCTTGATTAACTACTTACCAAATTTTTTTGTTTCCAATTTTATGTATTTTTCATTTTATGCGTATGGTTGTTTTGCTTACATTTATGTCTGTGTAACAAGGGCATGTTTGCTGCCTTCCAAGGCCAGAAGACATCATCAGTCTGAGCTGAGCATATGTGCCAGTTATCCCAACATTTGGGAGGCAGAGGCAGACAGATCTCTGAGTTCAAGGCTAGGCTAGTCCAGGCCACCCAAGACTCAACACTCCCTCCAAAAAGAAAAAGAAAAAGAAAACAAACAAACCAGCAATCATCAGATTTCCCTGAAATTGAAGTTCTTTTAAAACAAACAACCAGTGTGTGCTCCTAACTGCTGAGTCATCTCCAGTCCCTTGATCATATTAATACAAAAGTTTAAAAAAAAAATACAAAAGTTTGTTAGGTATTTTGTCCTACTCCTAACATTTGAATAAAGGTTTTATATAGTTTTGTTTTTTAAAATTAAGCATTTTATAATTCTTTATAGTTTTTATTTTACATGAAATGTGAATTTATTTACCCAGGGAGATAGGATTGTACATGTATATTAATCTGAACTGTCATTAGTTATGCAGTTTTACATGTATTTCTTGGAAATAAATATTGGACCAAAAGATTATCTGGGAGATTCTTTATACTTAATTTTTTATATAGAATAGTTTGTATGATATTTCTATGTTCTTTGTATCAGTATGAAAAAATTACTTGTCATCAGTACAGTCTTGTTATTTATAATTTTGATTGATAATGTATACCTTTACAGTGGACATGTTTAATGGTAGATTATTGAAGTTATCTTGAATTTGTAATCTACTATGTGCTAAATAATAATTTTTAAACGCTTTAATTTCTTTTAAAAACTGTTTATCTCTTTGGCATTCCGTCCTATGACAAAGAATTTCTTATTGCAAGAATTATTAGTTCTAAAATATTAGAATTACTGATCTAATTATTAGATCAGTAATACATTGATGTAAAAGTTTATTTTTCCTAATTTTCTGCTTCGTATTTTTAAAAATATAACTACTATATAGTATATATTAATGTTTTAAAGGCTGGATGCATCACACTGTGGATCTCCTGGGAGATAAGGCCACCAAGGAAAGTTATGCTATTCAGTATCTCCAGAAGTCCTTGGAAGCAGATCCAAATTCTGGCCAGTCCTGGTATTTCCTTGGAAGGTGAGATTTAACCAGATAGTTATATTCTGCTGTTGATAGTTAAAGCTAAGAGATTTTAAATGTTGACATTCATTTATACCTTGAACAGTATATTTTCTCTTTTTAGTAAATTATAATAAAGGTTCCTGAAGGTAAATGATAAAGCTTTTAAATATATTAGTTTCATCTTAACATAATCCTGTTTTCTTAAGAGGACATTTCTTATATTAATTTTTTATTTAACTTGAAGTGTTGCTAGGTTTTTTAAAAAAGGTCATATCAGATACTACTTTTTTCAGTGCACTACTTTTGTGCATTTCATATTGAGTTCTAGCACTTGATTTGTAGTAGAACTTAGGTCCCACTTTCACTTGAAATCTTACATTCTTTGAGAAAGTAAGTACATTCTTCTTGTATTTGCTGGAAAGAGACATCAACTGTCAGAAATTTGTTCAGTGCTATATGAGATGCCCTCTCTCTTTATGCATTTGATAAATCCTAATTCATTTTACTTTTCATAATATAGTGTAAAGATCACTGTACTAGGTACCAAAAGACTCACATTTAAGCAGGGGCTCAGTTAATTTTTGTAAAATTGTAGATGGTACATATGCAACCCTCTTGAGGCTTCAGTTATTCTCCCCCTCTTCCTCTTTTTTTTAATTTACTTATTCATTTATTAAAAATTTCTACCTCCTCCCCGCCTCCCTCTTCCCTCCCCCTCCCCACCTCCCCCTCCCTATCTAGTCCTAAGAGCAGTCAGGTTTCCATGCCCAGTGGGAGGTCCAAGGTCTTCCCCCCTCAAGCCAGGTCTATAAAGGTGAGCATCCAAACAAACCAGGTTCCCACAAAGTCAGTCCATGCAGTAGAATCAAAACCCAGTGCCTTTATCCTTGACTTCTCAGTCAGCCTTCATTCCCAGCCACATTCAGAGTGTCCAGTTGATCACATGCTCCATCACTCCCAGTCCAGCTGGCCTAGGTGAGCTCCCATTAGAACCATCCCAGTGTCTCAGTGGGTGAACGTACCCCTCGTGGTCCTGACTTCCTTGCTCATGTTTTCCCTTCTTCTGCTTCTCATTTGGACCTTGGGAGCTAAGTCTAGGGCTCCAATGTGGGACTCTGTCTCTATCTTTATCCATCGCCAGATGAAGGTTCTATGGTGATATGCAAGATATTCATCAGTGTGGCTATGGGACAAGGCCAGTTCAGGCACCCTCTCCTCTGCTGCCCAAGGAACAATCTGGGGACCTCTCCTTGGACCTGGGAACTCCTCTAGAATCAAGTCTCTTGCAAACCCTAAAATGGCTCCCTTAATTAAGATATTTACTTCCCTGCTCCCATATCCACCCTTCCTCCCCTCCATCCCACCAATCCCATTCCCCCAAGCTTTCCCCAATCCTCCCCCTTTCCCCTCTCTCTACCCATCTCCCCTTACATCCATCCACCCCCCCCCCCCCATGCACCCAACTTTTGCCTGGAAATCTTGTCTACTTCCAATATCCAGGAGGATAACTATATGATTTTCTTTAAGTTCACCTTCTTATTTAGCTTCTTTAGAGTACATACCATATTCCTCTTTTTGGGTCTGGGTTACCTCACTCAGTAAAGCGTTTTCTATTTCCATCCATTTGCATGCAAAATTCAAGATATCATTGGTTTTTTTCCGCTGAGTAAAACTCTAATGTGTATATGTTCCACACCTTCTTTAACCATTCTTCTATTGAGGGACACCTAGGTTGTTTCCAGGTTCTGGCTATTACAAAGAGTGCAGCTATGAACATAGTTGAACAAATGCTTTTGTAGTATGATAGGACATCTCTTGTGTATATTCCCAAGAGTAGAATTGCTGGGTCCTGAGGGAGGTTGACTCCCAGTTTCCTAAGAAACCGCCACACTGATTTCCACAGTGGCTGCACAAGTTTGCATTCCCACCAACAATGGATGAGTGTTCCCCTTACTCCACATCCTCTCCAGCATAGGCTGTCATTGGTGTTTTTGATTTTAGCTATTCTGATAGGTATAAGATGATATCTCAACGTTGATTTGATTTGAATTTCCCTGATCACTAAGGAGGTTGAGCATGATTTTAAGTGTCTTTTGGCCATTTGAATTTCTTCTGTTGAGAATTCTGTTCAGTTCAGTACCCCATTTTCAATTGAGTTAATTAAAGTTTTAGTGTCTATTTTCTCGAGTTCTTTATATATTTTAGAGATCAGACCTTTGTCTGTTGCTGGGTTGGTGAAGATCTTCTCCCAATCAGTAGGTTGCCTTTTTGTCTTAATGACAGTGTCCTTTGCTTTAAAGAAGCGTCTCAGTTTCAGCAGGTCCCAATTATTCATTGTTGCTCTTATTGTCTGTGTTACAGGGGTTCTACCTAGGAAGTGGTCTCCTGAGTCCATGTGTTGTAGACTACTTCCCACTTTCTCTTCTGTCAGGCTCAATGTGGTCAGATTAATATTGAGGTCTTTAATCCATTTGGACTTGAGTTTTGTATCAAAAAAACAAAGATAAGATAAGGATCTATTTTCATTCTTCTACAGGTTGACATCCAGTTGTTCCAGCACCATTTGTTAAAGATGCTTCCTTTCTTCCATTGTATAATTTTAGCTCCTTTGTCGAAAATCTGACGTTCATAGGTTTGTGGATTAATATCCGGGTGTTCGATTTAATTTAATTGGTCAACATCTCTGTTTTTGTGCCAATACCAAGCAGTTTCCATTACTGTAGCTCTGTAATAGAATTTGAAGTCAGGGATGGTAATGCCTCCAGAAGTTCCTTTATTGTATGATAATGTTTTTGCTATCTTGGGTTTTGTGTTTTTCCATATAATTTGATTATTGTTCTCTCCAGGTCCCTGAAGAATTTTGATGGGGATTGCATTGAATCTGTAGATTGCTTTTGGTAGAATTGCCATTTTTACTATGTTGATCCTCCCAATCCAAGAGCATGGGAGATCCTTCCATTTTCTGGTGTCCTCTTCAATTTCTTTCTTCAATGACTTAAAGTTCTTGTCAAATAGACCTTTCACTTCCTTGGTTAGAGTTACCCCAAGATACTTTATGCTACTTGTGGCTATTGTGAATGGCGATGTTTCTCTGATTTCCATCTCTGTTTCTTTATCCTTTGTGTATAGGAGGGCTACTGATTATTTGGAGTTGATCTTGTATCCTGTCACATTACTAAAGGTGTTGATCAGCTGTAGTAGTTCTTTGGTAGAGTTTTTGGGATCGCTTATGTACACCATCATATCATCTGCAAATAACGAAAGTTTGACTTATTCCTTTCCAATTCGAATCCCCTTAATCCCCTTATGTTGTCTTAGTGCTATTGCTAGAACTTCAAGCACTATATTGAAGAGGTATAGAGAGAGTCGAAAGCCTTGTTTTGTTCCTGATTTTAGTGGAATGGCTTTGAGTTTCTCTCCATTCAATTTGATGGTAGCTGTCGGCTTGCTGTAAATAGCTTTTATTATATTTAGGTATGATCCTTGTATCCCTAATCTCTCCAACACCTTATCATAAAGGGGTGTTGAGTTTTGTCAAATGCTTTTTCAGCATCTAATGAAATGATCATATGGTTTTTTTCCTTCAGTTTATTTATATGATGGATTACATTGATAGATTTTCTTATGATGAACCAGTCCTGCATCTCTGGGATGAAGCCCACTTGATCATAATGGATAATTTTTCTAATGTGTTCTTGGATTCGGTTTGTCAGTATTTTATTGAGAATTTTTTCGTCGATGTTCATGAGTGAGATTGGCCTGTAATTCTCTTTCTTGGTTGTGTCTTTGTGTGGTTTTGCTATCAGGGTAACTGTAGCTTCATGAAAAGAATTTGGCAATGACTCTTCTGTTTCTATATTGTGAAATACATTAAGGAGTATACGTATTAGCTCTTCTTGGAAGTTCTTGTAGAATTCTGCATTGAAACCATCTGGTCCTGGGCTTTGTTTGGTAGGGAGGTTTTTGATAACATCTTCTAATTCTTCGCGACTAACAGGTCTATTTAGATTGCTCACCTGGTCTTGGTTCAACTTTGGTATATGGTACTTATCTTAAATAATGTTCATTTCTTGTACATTTTCCAACGTTGTGTCATATAAATTTTCGTAGTAAGATCTAATGTTTCTCTGAATTTCCTCTGCATCTGTGGTTATGTCCCCCTTTTCATTTCTGATCTTATTAATTTGCATGTTCTCTCTCTGCTGTTTGATCAATTTGGATAGGGGCTTGTCGATCTTGTTGATTTTCTCCAAGAACCAGCTTTTTGATTCATTGATTCTTTGGATTGTTTTCTGTGTTTCTATTTTGTTGATTTCAGCCCTCAGTTTGATTTTTTTCCAGTCTTCTACTCCTCCTGGGTGAATCTGCTTCTTTTTTTTTTTTCTAGAGCTTTCAGGTGTGCTGTTAAGTCTTCAATGTGTGCTTTCTCCGTTTTCTTTAATTGGGCACTTAGTGCTATGAACTTTCCTCTTAGCACTGCTTTCATAGTGTCCCATAGGTTTAAGTATGTTGTGTCTTTGTTTTCATTAAATTCAAGGAAGACTTTAATTTCTTTCTTTATTTCTTCCTTGACCCAGGGGTGATACAGTAGTTGACTGTTCAGCTTCCATGAGTTTGTTGGCTTCCTGGGGGTAGCATTGTTGTTGGATTTTAACTTTAATCCATGGTGATCTGACAAGACACAGGTGGTTACTAATATTTTTTTTGTATCTGTGGAAGTTTACTTTGTTGCTGAGTATGTGATCAGTTTTCGAGAAGGTTTCATGAGCTGCAGAAAAGAAGGTATATTCTTTCCTTTTTGGGTGGAATGTTCTATAGATATCTGTTAAGTCCATTTGATTCATTACCTCTAGTAATTCTCTTATTTCTCTGTTAGATTTCTGTCTGATTTACCTGTGCATTCGTGAGAGAGGTGTGTTGAAGTCTCCTAGTGTTTGTGTGTGTCTTTTGATGACTGCCTTGAGTTCTAGAAAGTGTTTCTTTTACATAATGGGGTGCTTTTATATTAGGGGCAT